AAAAAAAAAAAAAAAAAAAAAAAATCAATTTATATCTCTAAATTTTATCCGTTAAAATTTTTCTAGACTAATTCGTCACATTCGACTTACTCAAATTTTTATTTATAAAATATTATTTTAATAAAGGAATAAAATATATTATTGATGTTGACAATTGGAAAAGACTTTTGAGTTAGTCAACCACTATTTTGAGAAATTAAGATTAAATAAATATGACTACGATGGTTGCTAATTGATATTATTAATGGTAATATACGTGGGATGACAAGGTAAATATGAGACTGAATTAATTTTAAAATTAATTTCAAATTTTCAGTTCAGATATAAAAAGACGGTCATTACAATATTTTAATTTTTAAGTCTTTCTTTATAAAGATATTGAATTATAAGAAAAAAGAAGACCTCACAACTTAAAGTCAAAGTACAGACAAAAAAACAACTACAAAAGTTACCGACAGGCAACAAAACAACCAAATTTACCTAAAAATCTTCGAATAATACAATTCAAGAAACATATCCTAATGTTCCACCAACCATAAAAAAGTCGGACATCGGGTTTATCCTTTCAATCATTCGTAACACTTGTAAGTCCTCAAGACTGCCGTCTTTGCTAGTAAGTGGATCGAAACACTCGTTTTTTTATCAGAAGCTTGTGATTTAGTTTTTGAAAACCCTAAACAAAATAGAACAATAAAGAAATGCATTGAATCGAATGATATGAATAATCACTTAAGGCGAATGCTCACGTGTGATAATCTATGCTAAAATTACAAATTCAGTCAAGTTTAATAATCTAACAGGAGTCGGTCATCCCACACAAACATATTTCCAAATAACCCGAATAAAGGGGCAGTTAAAATAATGGGTCTCAAGATTCAACTTCGTTGCCACAAAACATATAAGCACTAAGAACGTTTAAATACCCGTGACTAAGATAATCACACATCTACATCATATCCGACACATCATACCTGACTCCTTTTGGAGAGTCTTATTAAAAATATTTTTCTCTAAAGTATTAATTTTAACACGTCCAGTCATATCAAATATATTAAATATTAATTTGAACATTTAAAAAATTTCTTTAAACTTTAAACTAAATTTTGTCAAAAATTAATTAATTAATTTTCATTCATTAAATGATTCAATAGTCCAGTCCAACTTTTATGCACTCTAGGTTAAGTTGTATAAAGTGATGATTCACTAATTATTCAAATTACATGTCACTTATAATTATATCTTTCATCTTAAGTACTACTAATTCTTTAATAAACAATTTATTTATGATCCAACCATAAATCAAGTTTCTCACAAGCGAGTGAGAGGGAGGAACCCCATTACTCACCTGCTTTCCTAACGAGGAACAAATTCCATATGTTTTTATCACTCTATTGGGTCAAGTCACCAAAATGGTAGGCATATTAAATCAGCTACAAAAGTCATTGCAAATCAAAGAACAAGCCCTTAGAAATAGGAGTTCGTAACTTACTCCCGATTAAGATTGAGTTGGATATGATCATCTTATAAAATATTAATATTCTCAATTAACGAATTTATAAGGAGATGTGTTTCATGGTCAATTTATATAAACTCATTGTATAACAATTACAAAAGGGGTTGTATTAATACTATTAACAAGATAAGACACTGATATGAACCAAAAGACATCAATCATACAATATACTTCAATGAAGATGTGAAGAAAAAGTTGTCAAAATTATCCAAAGATGTTTCAATTCATGCCACATTGAAGAAGAATGAAGTTTGACTGTTATAAATTTTGGGTGGGTTACAATTTAGAATAATTTAGAGTTATTGTATTTTAAGACTTTTTATTTCATTTAGTTACAATTACCTAATGACTAATTATGGCGATTAAGTATGAATGTTACAACTATAGTTTCATTTTTTAGGCTATATAGAGCCATGTATGTTAGATTGTAGGTAGACTTGGAAAATATATTAAAAGAAGCATTTGTGCTTTTCTTTAGCCAATGGCTAAGTTTCTTTGCAATTCTACGTAGTTTAGGTTGCATGTAGAATCATTCAAGCTCGACATGATCAATCTTGCTTGTGGAGTGATTCGAATCTCAATCAAGTGTTTTTGTCTTAAGATATTTGATCAACAAGAATCATTCAAGCTAGACATGATCGATCTTGCTTGTAGGAGTGATTCGAATCTCAAACAATGTTATTGTCTTGAGATATTCGATCAACAAGGTAATCCGAATCTTACTCCCCTTGTAGTGATTCCTTATCTTATCAGACACCCAATCTTATCTATATACTATATACCTTTTAAATTATTACTGAAACATTATTCTTTTATATGTCAACTGCATACTTGTCAAGTTTACTAAAATAACCCTAGATTTTACACAATATTGAATAATATTATACCTAATATAAAATAACAAATTAATTTATTAATAAATGAGAAAATATTGAATAAGTCACAAATTCTAATAAGACATTCTTTAATCTCAAGCGCAGTTAGAGATGTTATATAGCAATGTGTTTAAGTCACATATATGATAAATGAGATAATCGAGGTTACATTAAATTAAAAACTATAATTATATTTTAATGGTAAACTCAGTTGTAATTTTTTTTAAATTTAAATAATACCACAAAATAAAATATTTATTTATTTATTTTTAATTATTTAATTAAAAAATAAAAAAAATATAGTTAAAAGCCCTTTTAATAATGGCGAAAAATAATGTTTTTTTTTTTCCAAAATTTTTCATCTGTATCAACTGACAACGTCGCATGTGTTGTAAATCTACCTTTAAAAATAATATTAAATTCTACAAAAAAAAAAAAAAAAGTAGTTGTCAGAAATATATTTCTTATTTTTAAATTTAATTGAGATCTCAAAAGTGTTTTAAATATTAATTGAGATTTCAGAAGTGAATAAAAAATCGGAAAATATATTTAATTTCGTTTTAGTCTGATTGGATTTTTAACTTTTTTTTTTGCTATTTAAAAAATCAAATTTGAATTTTTCAGCTGGCAAACATATTTTCGGAAATATTTAGGTATTAAACACAAATAAAAACTGAAAATAAAAATTAAAATAGTTTTTAGATTGACCCTAAATAAGCAAATTCACTTAATTTTAAAAAATTAAAAACAATATTTTCTGAATATTTTCTTTTTCCGAAATTTTTTAAAAAAATATATTTTCTTATATGTTTAAATTAATATATATATTAATATTAATTATATGAAAAAACAAACAACACAAAATGTTTTTCGAAGTAATTTTTAAAATAAAATAAAACATATTTTAAACGTTTATCCTATAAAGGGATTTTCTAAAATTACTTTTATTTTTCTTTTCATATAATTATACATTTTAAATTTTAAATTCAAAACTTATAAATATTATTTTCAAGATTTGCAATTAGGATCAAATAATCTGAAAAATAATTTTTAAAAATATAATATTACAAATTTAAGTGAATTTTTATACTTCAAACTTCTAAAAATTCTAAAAATATCTAATAATTAGTCAAATTTTAATACTGTTATTAATTATCAATTAATTTTTAAATTTTGTAAACTAAAATATTTAATATATTCTTAAATTCAAAGATTCTAGCTATTTAATTTTTTTTAATTCACAAATCTATTAAATATAAAATTAAAAATTTAATGTCAGACATAATATTTAATTTTGCATTTAATATATCAATTAGTTTTTCTTTGTTTAATATACTTAAAATTTATTAAAAAAATTTAAACTTAAAAAAATCTAAGCTTAAAAATAGAGGAATAAAATGGTGAGGTGTTCATATCATTTGAGAATCGGCCTAACTTGAACTACCTAACTGAAACGGTAAAAATTGGATTCTATTCAAGTTGCTGGGATCATCAACCTAACAAATTCAAAATTTGCAAGTATTGGGTTTTATTCAAGTTGCTCGAGTGATCAACCTAATAAGCTCGAAACTTCGAATTCAAATCTATATCCACCCGGGTCAGGAAGTATCCTTGATATGAGAATCCGACCAACTTGAATTACGTGGCCAAAGCTTAAAAAATTGGGTTATATTCGAATTGCTCGAATTATAAGTACATCACAAGGGGAATGTTGATGAGAGGGGCAGAGATGGATCAGACGGCGGAGAGAGGGCGACGGGTGTGGCTGCGTAGTGGGTGGTGATTAAGTAACCCACAGTGCGCCATGTGGCCCCCATGGTTCTCCTCCACGTTCTTGCTCGTTCTTCTTTCGAACAAATTTCCCCTTTTTTGTTTCCCCTTTCTCTGTTTTTCTCCTTCCCATATTTTGATTTTTCTCTTCTAAGTTCTTCCCCCATGGTTTTGATTCTTTCAATTCCTCTTTATTTCTATTAATTTCCCACTTCCTCAACGATCTAGGGTTTCCAATTCCCTTTAATTTCCCCTCTCTTTCGCTCTGTCCTTTCAATCCCCCTCTTCTAAACCTTCTACTCTTGGTGGGAGGTGGGGGGCTTTGAAATTCAAGGTACGTTCCCATTTCTTTCGCCTACTCTCTTCACTAACCCGCGATTAGTTTGTTAATTATTTCATGAATTTGGACTGTTTTTAAGCTTCTTCCGCTTTGCAATTTTCTGTCCCTGTTTTGCTTGTTTTACTCACGATCGAACACCCACTTTCGATTTCTTTTTGGTTTCCGTTTTGTGTTTGTTTTTGTTATCTGGGTTGGTTCTGTTTTGGTTTCTATTATAATTTGTTTTTCATTACGTGGGTTGTTGATTGATTGTTTCTGTCTTGTTTTTTGTTTTTTTTGTTTTTCTGTAGATTTAGTGCTGCTGATAGGAAGGATTGTTGTTGTCTTGATCGGACTTGCATTTTGAGCATTCGGGCTGTTTGAGATCTCACTGGATTTCTCTCATGGATTTTGAAAGCGAATCTTCGGCTCTTGAATCTGGGGAAGACAATGAAGTGAACCACGAAACTATTCCTTTTGATGATATCAACCGAACCAGAACCAATGGGAGTTGTGCTAATGATGCTGACCCGATGGTATCCATTTCACCGGCTTCGAAGGGAAATGATTCAAGTGGAAAAGCTATGAATTCACAATCTCCTCCTCCCAACACTTCTTCTCCTGTAGCAAAAGGTTATGGATTGAAGAAATGGAAGCGTATCCCTAGAGATTTTGTGAAGGATATGAATTCTAGCGACGATAATAGTAAAATTTTGAAGCGGGCACTGTCCACTTCTGGGAATCCGCTTAAACCTCAACATTCTCCGACCGGGAATAAGCAAAATAACGAAGGTTTAACCCCGTTGAGGAATATCGGAAATGTTGATAGCCAATTCCATGGTTCGAGTTCCAATTCGAGGTTTGCTGCGGGGTCTGCCTTTAACCATGGAACAGATTCGGAAAACAGCGAAGATCGGAGTAGCAAATCTTCCACTGCAGCGAGTGCTCCGAAGGCAAGGTATGATCTGAATACCGTCTTAGGACATGTGCGTGAAAAGAACAGGATAAAGAACGTGAGTGGGAAAAATCCAGGTGGTTCTGGTCAAAAGGGTCATCAGGGAAAGGGACGTGCTGAAGGAAGTAAAAAGGCGAGAGGAGAAAGAATCAAAGTTGAGAAGGAGAATTCTCAGTCTAGCATTGAATCTGACTCGAGGAGCTCGTGCTTTGTCTTTAGGCAGGGCATGATTGCTACTGCTAGCAATGGAAACCAAAATGAAAGGTCTGTTACCGACGATGGAGACAACAGCGATGGAGCTTATGCAGGTGATCAACAGTTTAGTGAAGAAGTTGAAACTGCATATAGGAAAGACGACGAGGTCGAAGCTGAAGATAATTTAGCTGCTGACTTGTCTTGGGAAGTTAAGGATGAAAAGGATAGGAATCATTGGTCACCTTTGAATAAGGATCCCATGGAAGAGTCTATTCTCAGCCTCCAGTCAGCTCAACACGCTCTTGAAAAAGGTTCATATACCTTTCTTTTTAAATTTGTGGAATATTTTTCTCTATAGTTTTGTTGCTTTAGAGATGAGATTATTATGCACTCTTTCTAATCATGAACTGAGAATGAAGTAATGATTTATCATCCATCATGGCTTTCTTAGAAAGCTTGTAGATATTCCAATCTCCTATTGTTTTCCATTTGCTTTGGCTGTTAGTTGATATTGGATACAAATTTTCTCTCGTTTGGACAATAGTTCTAAAGCGTTCTTTGTGACATATTCCATTACGATTATTGGGGAATCTTTAAGTGACGCGCTTGTGAATAGACCGTACGATTTATTACGCTAGTACCTCGTACTCATCTACATTTTGTTGAGTTAGAAGTCATATAGGCTGATCACTTATGTATATGTAGAAGGGTGGGGAAGCTTTGTATCGTTGGACACGTAGCTAGAACGTTTTCGTTGACTTGAATATACGACATGGTGGCTATGGTGTATACCTACGTAGGATTTAATATCATATGAGTTTCTTTGACAATCGAATGAAGTAGGCTCAAATAGTTGTCTCGTGGAAATAGTTGAGAGTACCTCGTACTCGTTTATATTTTGCTGAGTTATATGTACATTTTGCTGGGAACACCTACCAAGGATTTAATATCATACTTTCCTTGGCAACCAAATGTAGTAGGCTCAAACATTTGTCTCATGAGTTTATTCGAGGTGTCCACAAATTGGTCTGGACGTTCATGAGGTCGATTAGCTCATCATTCCAGTTTGGATACGGCGTTTTTAAAGTTTCCTACAAACCTGATTGTTGTATGTTGCCATTACACACATGGAGTTTGGTTTTTATCCATCAGATCTGGTTGTTTCTTGCTGGTTTTTTCTGCACTTTGTTATTTTGAGTTGAGCTAACAATGTGATATCTAATAATGCTGTTCTACACTTCCCAGAAATCAAGAAGCTAGGGGAGATAGGAAGGGACGAGATACCATCTTCCAGCATAATCGACAATACCGAACCTTCAAGTTTTGGGTATGACAACCTAGAAGCACATAAATCAAGTTGTTCTTTCCAAATGGGCTCTGGGAAGGCTGTTTCGAGTTCCTTCGAAGCCACAGTTCTTGGCTTGACAGGAAAGGTTAAATTTCTGGAGAACAAGTTAGAAGAGACGATGGCCATACTCAAATCGAAGGAATCCCGAGTCGCTGAACTGGAATCCTCCATTAGCACCAGAAAATCACCCAAGGAGGAAGCAGTAAGGGATGAAAAAGTCAAGGAAATAGAGAAGGAATTTGAGAGGTTTTTTAAGCAAAGACTTGAAGCAGAAATTGAATATTTGGCAATAGTAAGAGCCATTGAGAATTTACAATGTGAAACATTAGTTGATGCTAAAAAAAAACTGGCTGATGAGAAAGCAGAGACGATGAACATATTTAGAGAAGCCGAAAGTAAAGCTACGACGCTTAAGAAACGAGCAGAGGGTTTGGAGAAATGCTGTGGTGATATCTTGGATACAAAGGAGGTCTCAACGACTCGAGGGGACGTATTCAAGGTTAGTTCGTGTGCGTTTCTGCAGTTGATACTCTTGAGCTTGGTTCTTTGGGTTTTTGTCTTGCAAATGTCTTCACCTGCTGGAGTAGTTGTACCAACATAATTAAGGCTAGAAAAGGACATACATATTTTGTGAATTGATGAACAGTGTTTAAACTAAACCGGCTTCGTTCCCCTTTTATCATTTTGCATAGAAAAAAAAGCAAAAAAAAGGAGGAAAAGGGGAAGGGACAAGTAGGAATCTCAGTTGTAAGTTGTTTAATGGTTTTTTTTTTCTTTTTTGTTTCTTCTTGTAACTGTTGTTGTAGTCGTGATTTTTGATAGACAACTAATAGAGCTTCTAAAAAGGTTGCAACTGCTGGTTGAATTGTTATACTGTGTTAACATCCCGGCATCATGTGCATTCATTCATTGGGATTATACATTTCTGGCATCATATTTGAATAATGAACTTTATATTATTGATATTACTAGCTATTGGCTGTCTCTAGAATGTCAGGTCGGGTTCATTAGGATGTATTTGTAACAGCTCAAGCCTATTGAGTGCTAGTGAGGACACTGAGTCTCGAAGGGGGTGGATTGTGAGATCCCATATTGGTTGGGGAGGAGAACGAAATAGTCTTTATAGGAGTGTGAATTGTGAGATCCCACATCGGTTGGGGAGAACGGAACATTTTTTTATAAGGGTGTGGATTGTGAGATCCTATGTCGGTTGGGGAGGAGAACGAAACCTTCTTTGTAAAAGTATGGATTGTGAGATCCCATTCGGTTGGGGAGGAGAACGAAACATTCTTTATAAGAGCGTGAAAACCTCTTCATAGCAGACACGAAAGTCTAAAGAGAACAGTAGCGGCTAGTGGTGAGTTTGGGCTGTCAGAGTATTTCTATTATTAGTTACAATATTTGATTCAAACAATATCGGCAAGCGGTGAGCTGCTTCTGTTTGAATATTTGGAGTGGTTGATTAGATTGCAGGCATACTACTGGCTGTTCGAATATTTGGAGTGGTTGATTAGATTGTAGGCATACTACTAGGGGAATAGTGACCGACAGGAATTCCCCATGGACTATCCCTTATTGGTCTTGAAAACCCGCCACGTTTCGCAGACAAAATAATGGAGGGAAATATCCCGTTGTATTTCTTGCAAAAGATTGAATTGTTTTCAGGTGGTTGGAATTTTTGAATCTACATCTTAACTAGTTGAGCTACGTTCACGTTAACTGGTCTCTTTGGATTGACTTGGGTTTTATTAATATCGTGGTTTTGCCAAACAGCCATGCCTCGGATACCATTTGCCTTCGTCTGACAAAATTGTTCCCTCCCTCTCATGTCTTCGTCACCTCCTCGCTCATCGATTGGCCTAAACTATTTTCAAAATAGTTGAGATTTTGAAGTTGCATGTACCAAAAAAATCGAAATGTATGGTTGGGATATTGTTGTGGGTGAGTTCTACCTTGGTGGATGGAGAGGTTTCTCTCTTTGATCTACATATGCAGGTAGGCGATGATGTAAACCTTTTGATTTTTACATTTTGATTTTTCATGGAAGAAAATTGCATTCGCTAATGCTGGTTTAAACAACAGTAATTCATTGTGATTTCCAATCATTTTCGTTGTTTTGCATGTTTTATTTTTGTTTGAACTTTTTTTTTTTTTAAAGTAAAGAAATAGTTCATGCTCGATTTTAGTCCAAACACACTTTTACGAAGCTTTGCAAAATGATTGTGCACACTCACTCCCACCAACAAGTAAGTCAGGCAACTGGCACGAGCGATGTAGAAAGAAAGGGTCTGTGAGATTCTAAAATGTTTTGAAAGTAATTTTGGAAAGCAACGTTATTGCGTGGCAGGCAAATAAGAGATAACGACATTGATAACACATAACTTCGAGTAGACAAAATTGATGACTAATCGTATTTTGCTATGCATTTTAACCTTGACAGAAATAAATAAATTTTGGACATAAATACATAAAGTACAATAAAAATAATAATAAACAATAAAAAAAGTTAGAATAGACACGCTTATGTTATGTTTGTGAAATGATATGACTATGATATGCAAAACGATATGACTATGTTATGTGAAACAATATGACTATGTTATGTTTACAAAATGATATGACTATGTTATGTTTATGAAACGATATGACTATGATATGTTTACTAAGTGATATGACTATGATATGTTTGTGAAAGGATATGACTATGATATGATTATAATACGATATATGTGATACGTTTATGAAATGATATGACTAAGATATGTTATGAAATGTGGATGATATGTTATGTTAATGTTACAATATGTGTTATGATGTGACGTGTTGATGATACGATATATGTTATGGTGTAACATGTTTGACGATACAAAACATGTTGTGACGTGTTTTATGATATATGATACTGATATGATATGTCGAAGGATATGTTATGTGCATGATATGACATAAGGCTAAATATGTTATGAATGATACGAGATTCAACCCCGATACATGCCTTAAAGGCTATATTAAAATATGATATGATAGGAAGGAAAATGGGAGGGGGTTATTTTACATTATAATGAATGAAAATGTAGGGACCTCGTGCATCATTGTGTATTCATGCATTGGGGAATATCTCTTTATTATAATGGTATGATCATGTATATTATGAGGTAGGAAAACGATCATTATGTTTATCATAATGCTGCGACGGTCACCATTCCTAACGAGTGTTCAACATCAACAACTCCAGAGAATGCTCGCTCGACCAAGAAAGTGACTCAGAAGGTTGTGAACCGACTGGTAGGCTCATACTCGGACTCTGGGCCATGTGTAGAACAGTAAATACAGATTCAGTTGCTTGTTTAGGATAGCTGCCAAAGGGAATATAGACCGAAAGGATAAGTCACATTCACTAATGTAAGTGTGCATCAAACCCCAATAATGAGGCCACTCCTGTTTCAGGTAAGGGCAAGACACTCTTGTACCGCTAACGACGATATCATGCATAAAATAGTTGTATTTATTTTTTTAGACTTAGGTTAGAATAAAGTATTTTTATTTTTAATGTTTATTTATTTTATTTAGAAAATTTTTATATCATTTTAAAGACGGTTTCGAACATTTAAGTCCATGACAGTGCTTTATGTTGAAGTTTCAAATGATTATTTATGCACAAATGAGTATGTTATGTATACAGCAGTGACTTTAGACTTCCATAAATCTAGGGTTGTTACAGCTATTCCCTCTCGGTCTTCGACAACAGCCCAGATAAGCTAGCCCGACCATCAGGCTTAGAGGGTGTGCGAGCTCGCTTGGTAGGCCCATGTTCGCATGTGTGGATCGTATTTAGAGAAGTACTACACATCCAATTTGTCCGGGTTGGAAAGTTGCTTAAGAGAAGACGATTTTAAATGATAGGTCCCATCATTCCGTATGTGTTTCCATTCCACGACCCCAATAATGGAATCACTTAGTATTTCTTAAATACTCAATCCTTATGCTATTCTTATATTCACGTAAAGGCAACACACCCTTGTACGGATGACGACGACGGCGTCGCATTGAAGACCATGAAACTTTTGTTAGGATAGTTACATTTTATTTATTTTGAATCTCTTAGGTTAGATCAAGACATCGTCTTAATCTTTTCTTTGATTTATTTATATTTTTGCATTGATTATTTTTCATTATTTTGTTTGAAGGCTTTTAATGGGAACATTTAAGTTTAACTTATAATTTAATCTACAAAATCAAGTAAAGATTGCGTAAATATTAGATTATTTATTTTGAAAATGTTAATGTAATCGACCTAGATTTAAAGAATTCAAAATAACCTAATCTAATTTAAATTATTTGATAGAAATTTAGGAAAAGGATCGTTAATAAGAATGACACGAACCAAAATCTGATTGATATAAGATATAAGATATAAGAGAGAATAGAACGATATATCGAAAATTTTAAAATTTTGCTACAATTATCTCGAACTTTAAAATCTAGTTTTGATTCACAAAAACTTTGGATGTCAAGAAGCCCATGAAAAGAACCTTATTTTGGATACCCTCTTCCTATATCTTCATGTTCTTCATGTTCTTCATTCACACAATTATGGGAACTTTTGAGGATGTTATTTATGCTACAATGACATACACAACCAATAACTCAATGGAGCAATCAACAAAGAGGAATCAAGTAAGTAAAATTTATGTCTTCTTGGCTCCAAACATAAATAAATAAATAAAATAATAGTGATTAGGATGATTATTGCTTATTTGTTTTGTGAAATTTTTTTTTTTTTTTTTTTGTTTACCATTTGATGTCTACTTGTTTCTACTCGATTCGATTTGGTTCGTAGTGTGTATATATATATAGTTGACGTATGAATCTGATACGTGTGGATTTACACGAACTAGACTGAAGAATAGGTATGAGATGACTTGCATTAAAGATCCACTCGTATAAGATTCGTGTATCAAATGGGTGACAGAGATGAGAACGGGGAAGCTTTCTTCATCCTCATTCTATTATCTTCAAGCTTCTCAAACAACACCATCGATTTGCCTAAACTTTTAGAGACTCCTTACAAGGTGTCGAGAACCTTAACTTCAAAACGCTTCTCGGAGAGAATTTGAGAACATTTTTACCATTTTTCATTTTGATTCATCTAACTTAAATTTTTATCGATATGAATTGGAATGAATACTTATAGCATAATCTGAATGTATGTTTCTCACCGAGATGGGGAGGGTGAAGTCTTTCCTGTCTATGTCGTTTATGTCATCTGTTTCAATCTCCATCCCTGCAAAATTCTTAAATTATTTTCGCAGGGCAAGAATTCTCCATCCCTACAAAATTCTTTACTTATTTTCGCAGGGCAAGAATTCACGTAGAATTTTTCAGTTTTTTATATGTATATTAAAAGTATTTCTTTCCAAAAAAAAATTTAATGGATAATTTTTATTTTTCAATATAATTTTTTATTAAAAAGTGAATTAATCAAATAATATTTTGTAAATTTTTTTCCAATGTTTATTTTGAAAACTATGATTGAACAAGACTACTATGTAAATATTTATTCTTATGTATATTTATGTGGAATTCTTTTCATTAATTGGATTTAGGGTATTTTGTTGCCAATGATGAGCATTTTCTTTATTTACTTTTGTTGGTAGGGCTAAATTTCAAGATTTTCATAATTGGGTCTTGTTATTTCTATGAATTTTGTATGATTGATTGAATTTTCTAATTTAGTTGTAAAGAGTTATTAATTGCAATATTGATTCAAATTTATAGAATGTAGCGACTCGACTTTGTAAACCTAGACTGACCAAAAGCAATATAATGTGAGATCCCATATCGATTAGGGAAGAGAATGAAACACTGTTT